ATGTATGTATGTATGTATGTATGTGTGTATGTATGTATGTATGTATGTATATATGCCATGTAAGTCTTTTCATGCTATGGGCATATACAATTAAACAAGTTGATGAAAAAGCGATCCTGCTGCAGAATCAGGTAGCACCTTGAGATTGGTAAGTGAAAATTCTGTGCCCTTTTCATGGTCAGTGGAAAACACCTTATTCCGTCGGAGAGTGTAACATGAAATCCATGAATGCTCCCAATCGCTGAAGCGCTTGTCTTTCGGTCAGTTCGATTACCACTGACCATGCTAACGGCGATCATCAGACGCTTCATGTGTTTGATCTACGCTTCGCTGTAATTCATCTAAACGCGTGCTTATCTATCTGTCTGTCTGTTTGTCTGTCTGTCTGTCCCTCTATATGTTTGCCTTTCTATCTATCTATCGATCTATTCATCTATCTATCCATCTATCTATCTATCTATCTATCTATCTATCTATCTATCTATCTATCTATCTATCTATCTATCTATCTATCTATCTATCTATCTATCTATCTATCTATCTATCTATCTATCTATCTATCTATCTATCTATCTATCTATCTATCTATCTATCTATCTATCTATCTATCTATCTATCTATCTATCTATCTATCTATCTATCTATCTATCTATCTATCTATCTATCTATCTATCTATCTATCTATCTATCTATCTATCTATCTATCTATCTATCTATCTATCTATCTATCTATCTATCTATCTATCTATCTATCTATCTATCTATCTATCTATCTATCTATCTATCTATCTATTGAGAATCTTCTCAGACGAACTTTGTTGGTCGCAGTAACTCTTGTTTCCGTCACAAAACATTCTAACTGAGGTTATTGGGTCATTCTCAAGTTAACATCCCTTGTCGGTACTAACTGGGATCGTATACGTTTCTGCCACTGAAGTGGCAACATGTTAAAGTATCACTATACTATGGAGAGGTAAGAAATGTCTGTTCCAGTGGACAATTCAAAATGCTGAATATGGCGCTGTACACATACTGCTATTGCTCCGTTATTCCGGTGCATCAGCAGATCATAATGTCCTTGGAATTTTCCAACAGGGAGACTTCCTATTGCCTGAAATACATAATAAACGTACACTTATTAGTGCGTTATCAACTAGGATGGTGACTGGGTCCATGCAATGAAGAGGCGGCTCATTATAGGACAGTGGTATTACACTTGCGATCAGAGAAAAGGACATCAAATGGATGGACTGGCTCCTAGAGTTTTAACTATTCGGATGAAATTTCAGTGAAGGACTAAATCTATTCTTTCTCTGAGTTACTTGTAAATGATTGACAAATATTTGAATTCCTTTTGTACCACAGCGCAGAAACGTGTGTAGAACAAGATTACAAAGCCATTCCTTGGTATTCCGAAAAATGACATTGTCTAGGCTTGACTATCTAGATGCCTGGACTAGCGACCTTGCTGAGATTCGTCAATGGAACCTGAAGCTCCTAATGAAGAATTCCAACGTTTATCGTCGCCATTCAGCGGTAACGAAATACAACCGCCACCTCCATAAAAGACTCAGTTTCATAAAAGTTTAACTTTTCACAAATGACGCGTGGCGTTTTGTGACTCACCAGTTCACCATATTTCATCACATGACTATCTTTCGTCCTCTTTTTCACCTCCTGGTATTGTTGCTCCAATGTACGCTTCTTGAGGTCACTCTGCGCGCGTGTGAGTGATAATGACAAAGGTGAAAAATTTGAAAGAGACGGATCAGCTTACACAATTTTAAGGGATCCAGTGTAGGCAGAAATGTGAAACTGCCACTAGAGGTAGGACAACCGAGGTATGGAACGACACATATTACGGGAAATTAGTGAGCACTCCGCTTCTCCTGGACACCATGCACATATAACACATTCTAAGGATTTGATGCTCCATAGTAATGACCAACATCATCACCACCATAGAGAGGAAAAGCAAAGAAAAACGCTGATGCTCCACTGCCTTGCAGACAGATGTATTTTGACGAAGGCGTTCAAGAGATCAGCCATCATCATCATCATCGTTATCATCATCAACATCGTTACCATCGCAATAATCATTGTCATCATCCATGTTCAACACTGACGCCTCGCTACGCGTAACAAAAATTCATTTAGTGCACTATTCAAAATAAAAGAATTACATTAAATGGGAAAATACTTGAACCTGGCCTAACACAATACTGCCAATGAGTTTACATCTCCAGAAAATTACTCAGGCGATCTCAATCGAAAATTATAACAAAAACGCCGATAACATCGATTCGTTGACATGATTTGCGGCTTCTTTAACCAGTCACGTAGAGGGCGGAATAAACCGATAGCATCCAGTCTTTTGATAGACTCTGATACGCCTCTGCATGAGCACAGGTAAACCTGATTGGGAGGATAGTACGAAATTCCGGGCATTTAACCAGTGGTTTAATTATTCCGGCTGAACTGCCATATATCCCCTTCATGCTTGAGAGCAGAAAAAATAAATGGTTCAGAAAATCAAATGGACTCGCTACTGAATAGCACCGGACAACTCATCACAACTGATAGAGATATCTGCAACAGTTTTGCCAAAACGTACGTATTCCGAATCTGTAATCCAAGCATACGAGTATTCGTTCGCTAGACAGGCATCGATTTCCTTGTCATAGCAAAACATTGACCAGGATTTTTCATCTTCTTTGGCTGCAGGTTCAGGGGTTTAGACAACAGAACGTGCAAGACAATATCAAAGATTTTCGAAATAGTGAGGTAAATTATCGCCGGGATCGCCCTGCGACTCACGGAAATAATGAAACTGCCAATGGTCTGGAACTAACATACTACTCAGAGGGTCGTTAACACTATGTTGACAGGACATCATGGTTTCCACGCTTCTTGAGGAGAATCAGGTAGGCGCATTCCATGACCTTCCCTGAAACCTAATCAAGACTTGAACCCAGACTGGGTGGAACTTGCAAAAGCTCTCATAAACGAGATATTTGCCGGGATTTTGTGGGGTCAGCCCGTCAAAATCGAATCAAAATGTAGATGTATTATCTGCAATGCTTATGGTGCACCGTCCCTCAGAAGATGCCACAGACAAGAGCGGTCAAAATGAACAGGCTGCAAGCCGCAGACCTGTTATTCTTAGGCTGAAGTGTACTTTTGAGAAAAGACCCACAATTAAATTACAGTTTACAAAGACCTTATCCACTTGCCATTTCTGGTTGCTGCAAAGAGACGTCAAAAAATCATAGGGGTTGTAGGGGTTGAACAATGATTTCCTCCATCAGTATGGAACTTATCTGGCAGCGGAAGCAACATTAATCGATGAATGTTTGATTTCGTGTCATACCCGGCTGAGTGCTTCTTGTGTGGAATCAGGGGCCACTTCCATTCAAGGATCGCGAAGAGAACGAGAAGGAACCAAGCTTGGAACTTCGTTTTGTTGCATTGGAAAGTGCAGTATTATAATCATATGTGAAGGCTATTCTGAATGCTATTTTACAAGGTCTGCACAACAGCCAGGCAAAAGAATCACGCTACTTACTTCCCATATTTGAAGGGAGAACATCTCGAAACATAGAGCCCGAAGAGCAAGCATCGACGTACAGCACCAGTTTGTTGTACATTCTCTTCGAATACATGTAGGCCAGGGTATCGTTCAACTCCATGGCATACAGCTGTCGCAACACGAAAGAAAATTCTCGTGAACTCGAGATATCTCAGGGATTAAGGCCATGTCCCTTCAACCATTTGTCCGACTTCCCGATCGATGGGGAGCATTTCAGCCCTCACTGCTTGACATGAAATTTAGGAAGACTTCCACTCAATTGAACATTACCAAATCCCATCTTACTACATACAGACAGTAATTAGTGCAGAAGGAGCAATAATTCACACTTCGTATGGATTTTTCATTTGAGGATGTGTCATGCGATGAGTCAGTCGTCAGTGATATGGATCTCTTGATTGGAGAATGAGCAAAGTTATGTCCTAAATTAGTGAGAATAAATCAGGCTGATGGTAGGTCGCTCGTCCAAACGGTTATACGCTGCAAACGTCAAGCGCACCACCAATGATTCCCGATGACAAAGGAACAGTTGTACATTGCTTCTCGGCTTTTCATCACAGACTGGTTTCTCACACAGAAATAAGAAAACATTTTCATACTTCCAAAGATTCGCACTCCTTCTTTGAAAGTAAAAGGAGTATGTTTTCTTGTCAAGAAGAATACGCCTGACGCGTTCCTCGTATCATCTACGCTTTATTGGCGACCTTATACGAGCAGCTTCTTTGTTTATAGGAACTACGGCTTGAAACACCCGCGAAACAATGTGCGTTGAGCAACCTCAAACTTGGTGAATCAAAATCTACGTGCCATAATCATCCAAAACATCTAGACGAGACCTACCAAACTAGAATCACTGAATGTGTCACCCCCAAGGAAGATGTCTAAACCTCGAAGCTTGTGTTTCATTTTCGGTTGATGTGTATTCCATTCTGTTATAAAGAATTACCGACTAGAGTGCGCCGAAACATGTATATCTACGACTCCCTAAATTGTTCACAATCTAACTCCTTATTGAACAAATTGGAAAGTAAAAAATCGGTTACTGCAATTAACTAAACTTACTACTACATCGGGGAAGAAGATAGCGGAAGCCGCACCATGGCCAGAGTAGAAGATGAACACGTTGTCATCAGGACCGCTGTAAGTATGCAGAAAGGTAAGGGTGGTCTTGAGAAGAAGGTTATTGGCTGGCGTTCATGCTAAACAGAAAGGGCAACAAATCCGGCCGAAATGGATGGATAGCGAACATGTCGGTCAGAATATTACCATGTACATGCTGAGTGATATAATCGGTAGCTAAAGAAACTTCCACTAGTCTGCTATTTGCGTGACCACAGAAATGGGGGAAGGAAAAATCGATTGTTTAAACGCCGTTGGTTCATTCATGTATCCAGAGATGTGGTCGCTCCCGTGGTTTTGACCGCATGGAGGCAGTTTGAGGCAGTATTCTCATCATCTTGCCTTTGGAATAGTCACACTCAGCTCACTCAAAAACACGCTTTTGTTATCATGATTACATGTGTTTAATAGGATATCTGTATTATGCGTACACTACTGAGGACCAAGGTGAGGCAAACCTGTATTTGAATTCGAATATCCCGGAAGCCATATGTTTTTAGCTAAAACAGATTTGGAAGTGTTCCGTTTCCTGGCCGTTGATCAAGATGTTGTCCATCTGCTTTCTGATCGTAGTAATCAGCTTGCAAATGTTTCATCAAGAAACAAAGTGACATCGTGAGTGAATGCTTTGGTCGAAAGTCCCTCCATACCTGTCTGAAATTATGCGGCCGCGAGAATCTGAATGAAAAATACACTTGTAAGAGTCCAAATGGTCCATTTCAAACTTTGCTGCGTTGTGGCCTGCATCCCCTGAATTCGATCGATTCATGGTCTATTTGATCGGTTACCGATTTCTGTTGTAATCGCGGTCTGACTTTCCACTCCAATTTCTATTTTTAGTAACACATTTTGCGTGGTTGGTCCTGAATAGCTGTTGTGTTGTAGCCCGATTTTTCGGAGTTTGCATTCAGGTATGCCCTTCCAGTTAATCAAACTGGTTTAGTGTGCAGATGATCACCTATTATGCAAACAATTTTACTCCTCCATCCCAACAAACTACCGGCGGGATTGGAAACACCGAGTTTGGTCAGCTTGGGATTAGAAAGGCCTTCAAACACTTTTGTTTATTTCTCATTAGATATGTAAATGAGTATGGCTAAGGCAAAAATCAGGCCAGATAGTGCCTAAAGGAAAGGAAAGAGATAACGTTGAGTTCATCTAAGATAATTTGTGTGCAATGTTAGCGGTTCGACTCCCAATAATGTAACAATAACTACCCCCTTTTGAATATGCTTAGCAAGATATCGTGAAAATGTAGTTTTCCAGAAAACTAGCTTATCACAACAGGATATAATATCCGTGACAGGCAGCGCAAACTTCATACTCTAGGACACAGCAAATAAAGTGCCACAGATCAAATACTACTTGGCGGGTGAGTTCAGAAATGAGTGTTTACCAAACTGAGTGCTTTGCAAGGGCGAATACGGGAAGTCCCCTCTCCAAGCAATTGTGAGGATCGACGAAACCGCAAAAAAGCCCATATGAACAGGTACTAGATCACCGCTTTGGAATCGCGACCGAATCGAACTCGGGGCATTATGTTCCCGGAAGCAAAGCCGAATGACAGCAGACCACCAACTTACACAAAGCGCTTGAAGAAGGTCCAACAACCAGGCTTGACAAAACTTTTAAGTCAATAGGCCCTTTGTCTAACTGCGAACGAAAGAGATCGGTTTGCGAAAGCTTGGATACTGTACAGAAACATCCATCCCGGGTCCCTGTAGGAAGCACTGGTTAGTTAGGAAACACGCACAAAGAGCTGGTGCGTGCCGATTGCGCACCAGTTGCAAATCCAAACAGTGTATAACGGATGGCACATTATTGGTTTGCAAGTGCATGAAAGTTTGCATCGTTTCCTGACTTCTCTCTGTAGGTCAGTGCTTCTGGTATCGTTGATGCGGGTCAGAAAGGCGTGGACGGAATTTTGAAAGAAAAATCCACATAGAATCAAAGGCGAAACAGGCACTCTAGAGGCTGAGAGTATTGTCGAATAACGAAACAGATTTAATTGCTGCCATACAATCAATCCTCAGGTCTGCAAGCGAACTTGACTTTCAATTATTAAATCAGCAGTGCTCAAGTGTTTCGGTCAACACAGTGGATTAAAACAACTCCTGAATCCGAGCAAACGAAAATTGTCCAACCCCAACCTGTAGAAGTCCGAGCAGATATTTTACCATGCCCAACTGCGCATATCTGAATATCTTCAAAACTTGTTAACATTGGCAAGTGATGCCTATGAGATAACAATATCCCGTAGTCTGAAATTTATAAATTAGGTTTCCCCTGGAGTGAAGCAGATAATTTTGACTGACTTCTGAAAGATTTACTGTTGTATCTCTTTCACCTGCCCTGACGTTACTGGGTTATAGTCGACCTGAAGTAACTGTGTAATACCGCAATTAAAAACATTATATATATATATATATATGATTCACTTGTCACCGTATTTGATGGTCGATCCGCTGTCAACCAACCAGTGTGTCTCCCACACATCCACATCGGTTCTCGGGCGGTTGTTCCTTTGTCTCGGTTGATCAAAGATTGTCGTCTGCGCGCTTGTGTATGGGGTGACTTGGCCATGGAGGGGGTGTGACAATTCTGTGTCCCTATCTGACCTTTCTCCGGCACATGATGAAATCGGACGTGATTCAGACGTATAGGTGTAATCGCACGGCTCTGTTTCACATGATTGTTCCGCTGCGCCGCAGTAGGCTGATGCGCAGCCGTATTATTTACCTAAGGAGATCATGGGCTAACTTACTTACGAGAATACTGAACACGCATTTCGTTAGTCCCGAAGCTCTGACCTGGAACACTAGAATTATAGCTGTGATCAGCATGCACATCAACAGTATCCACATCCGAGCGCACCCACCTTTTCAGCACCTTCTTCTTGTTGGCTTCAAGTTTATCATCGCTTTTAATGCACTGAACACGCATTTCGTTAGTCCCGAAGCTCTGACCTGGAACACTAGAATTATAGCTGTGATCAGCATGCACATCAACAGTATCCACATCCGAGCGCACCCACCTTTTCAGCACCTTCTTCTTGTTGGCTTCAAGTTTATCATCGCCTTTTAATGCTCTCACGAAGTTGTCCCGTGTGACTTCCTAAAACGAGTGAACACGCATGACCAATTAGTTCTGTGACGATGGTGTTCTCGATACTCATTCTGTTCACAGTGAGCATCAACTTGAATCCTAAGAAAGACTCGCCACCTTCATTCATATTATTTACACGATGATCGCTGTACTCTGAAAACTGAAGAATTCGGTTGTTGGTCTGTTTGTCAACCATGGCTTTGGGATAAACTCCTCAAGCCTAGTGTTAGCAGTTGAGTTGACCATGGATTACCTGGAAGTACGACAACATAGTCCTCGTCTTTCTCGAAAATCACGTGAGAAATCGCCGCCATGTTGAAGTGAGTATCACTCATTAATACTCAACCTAATCACAGTTGAACATTAAAGTAAGGATATTAGTCAGATAAATTTTCTGCCTTGGGCCGCTGCTTGCTTTGTTTTATGCATCACTCGAGATATAGCAGAATATTTCCTCGGAGAAAGCTATTCGGGCGCGGTTTGTCCCCGTGCACTTTCCTGGTTCTTTTGACAAAAACGCTAGCCTACTTAATGCACTGGGTGCAGAAGCCTAAACTCGGTCGTGAGCTGCCTGAGAGTTTTCTATGACATTATGACGAGTATTCGTTCAAGTAAACATATCGTTCTGAAATATGCGGAAACTGGTTAAGCTGCCCTTGGCTTTGTATTGTGTTTCGATACGCAGCGTCATGTTATTTGCACCCTGTGTTCTACGGTGAACTGATGCATGAATTTACTTGATTGCCGCGCACCGGGACGCCGACTTACTTTTCCACGGTAATCAATTACTACACCCTTGTAGACATCTTCGTGCTCGTAGTCATGGAACACTTTGCCTTTAAACGGATTTCTGGTATAAAAGAATGAAAATGGGAACTGATTTTCTCGAAAAAAATAACAAGTAGTTCCAAAGAAAAGTAATGAAAAGTTCATGAATTCTGTTGGAATTTGGATCTCGGGCTGGTTTTGGAATCGATTTCCACGACGATGAGTGCACCTTCGGTCACATATTCGATGATGTGTTAGCTTATAATCCTTTACGCAATAACAATTAATGTATCCTACAATGAACCTGGTGGAGGGCACAAAAAGAGCATTACAAATTTTGTGCGAACAGGTAACTATTTTAGGTAACTTTACATTCAAACACAACCAGCAGCAGATTTTATGAGGATATATATTCAGTGCACTTCAATGTAATTCAATTTGGCCGGGAGCAGGGTGACCTAAGAGGTTGGAGCGCGAACTTACAGAACGGACGTTTCGTGGTTCCAACCCAACCTCTAACAGCGAACTCTTCTGCCTAGGTTCGGGCAACCTGGCAGCATCACGACCCTCGTGAGACCTTCGTGTGCCAGGCAGCTGCGCACCTTATAGATGCTAGAGCCGAATGAACGATTGGGCAATAAACGACTTACAATTATTACAACCATTTTTATGCTTTCTTAATGTTGTTCTCATCTTGGGCTGCATTAATCTTAATGTTTGCTCCAGATCATCAGCCGGCTGATGCAATAAAAAGATATCTAGATATCGATGTGATTAATTTCAGGCAATTGGCAAATCAAACGGGTGCATATTATCATCATGATCATCAGCATCGTCATCAAAGTGTGCTGCTTGCATTAGGGTTCTTTGGCACCTATATCCATGAAATGGTATCCAATAAAGCAAAATCTGATGTGACATCTGATGCTACTCATGGAACTCCATAATTGTGGGCAACTCGAATCCACTAGTTATGTACATGAGGCACACGGCACAAGAGTAAGGTATGTGAAAACCAAACAAAGAAGGCGTGTTTTCTACACTATGGTTGCCATCATATAGCGAAAACTGTACGCGATCATTACTTGCGATGTTTTGCAATATCGTCGTAGGCGAGAGTAATTATATTCTCCGCTGGAACTTTGTTTTTACGCACCACTTGATAGGCGTGGAAAACGTCAGCCTGAATGAGAACACAAATGACACGTGAATTAAACATAACATGCAGATTGATGAATGGAGTCGCAACAACGACCTGCTCACCAAAGTGCTACAATCTTTGCATCCCTTGACTTCGAAAATACGTGGGAAACTGTCGTTCGCTTGTATACAAGATAAATAGTAATATTGCGGCAAATTTCAGTACCAATTAAATAATACCCAGTGAATCTTAATGATGGGTACGGATGAACTCATTATAGGTAACATTTTCAATACAATTCTCATAAAACGATTTGACCAAGTTGGATTTACATATGTTTGTTCAAAGTGAACACTACTTGATCATACCAAATATTGAAGATTTATTCGCTTTTATTGCTTAGCAATTCCGAGGCTTTTGCCTTAACTGTCAATGGCGTTGCTAACTCAGAGCTCTTTGTTGAAATTTCTGATGGTTAGTTTCTTCACTAGGTCACCCTAGATTACGGCACTGTAGAGTCTGGTACCTTCACTGTCAGGTTAGATAATTAGTGGTGGCATGAAGACCATCGAAGAGCTAAAATTCTCTTGTTCTGATGCAACACCATACCTTCTACTGGCAAGTTGCGATTTCACGTAACATAACGCAACCATAAAATCGTCTTCGTTAAGATGTCGGTTTCCGACTTACGTGACAATGTATGCACTCCACTAACATCTGAGTTTAATAGGGCCGATTAAACGACCCCACCAGGGCGAAATATCGTTGTAGGGCAAGGAAATATTGACGAAAACAAACATAACCCATCCAACATATGTCCACCTATATATCTATTATTTATGGCTTCTACCCAACGCGTTTTCGAATGAAACATCATTGCCATGGAGAAAACTGCGTTGGACACAACTGTTTAGGAGAACAACAGTGCAGATTCTCACTTTGAAAAACCCTTCACTCGCGGATTTAGATATAATTTTGTGACGCAAACAAATGAAAAACCAACTAAAACTTACTTGATTTCGATAATTTACCCACCCATTGGAACCAGCGACAAGGATAACCCAGTTCTTTGATGGATTATTGTTAAATATGGATGACCAGTTGTGGACACCAGCGGCTTCCAAACATGCAACATGGGCAATGCAGAACAAGAACGCAATAAGAAGCAAAAAACGACGCATCACATTCAGGCTTATTTGAAGCTTCATATTCCCGGAATTTTATACTGTGCGTCTCCTGTGAATCGAACTTTGCCCTACATATGTATGACGATAGCGGTTAAATCCACTACAAAGATAATGGGTCTGCGGTACAAAGTCTATGTTAATCGGGGTTTCAGCGGCCGTTTCGATCAGCTCGTTCAATTACTGGTCACTTGCGCAAACCTTTTACAATAGCCTGCGCACATTAGTGGTTTGTGGTATTCTGTTGCACAAATGTGAGTCATTTGGTTGAGCGTCCATGCGCTTCTGACAGTGCTGAGCAGCAAACAGATTCCGGAAATAGATTTCACGAAGCGACTGGCTTCATGAGTGCCTTTACTGAAACCTTTGATCCATGGGGATAATAATATGCTTTTTGTACTAAAAAACGACGATGAAAATTTGTATTTGGTGAATTTGTGTTTGCAGTGCGTCAGGTTTAGCCTTGAAAAGATGGGTATTTACTCACTGGGTGAATCGATGGTTTCATGGCGCATCTGGCTGATCTAAGTGATTGACGCTGAAGGTCATGCAACGCTCCAAACCGAGAAATTTACCTTCCCCTGCGGTTTTCTTTTACACAAAATTGCAAGGTTCTGAAAATCATTGGATGGTCATTTTGAAACCAGCAGACGGTCCCTCTGGCATCCCTACATTTTCCGTAACATCCATCGCTAAATTTTCAAATCGGAGATGCAAGTAACAAGGTTTCCTTTTAAGCCACGCTAGTTGCAAGTAGTATTATTGCTCCAATAGTCATCCTCGTTTTTATAAAATTCACTTGAGAGTTCGGAAGGATCACATAAACATGATAGCCTATTTGGTTCGTGGGCGTCTGGAAGTGATTTGAATCGATGTGTTTAAAAGAACACTTCGATTTTCACGACTTCTTATACAAAGTGAACTCGGAAACAACAACGGCGAATCCACGGACTATTTCGTCTCCCCTGGTGAGCCTGCTGGATACCTACAGCCGGAGTGGCAAATCTAGAATGGTGAGTGCTATAATGTCATGCGGGTTTGCTCAAGAATACGAGCTCTTTATTTTCGATAAGTCGAACGAACTACACTCATATTTAGAGGAGATAACACTTGAGAAATATGGTGTGAGAAATATCATATTCCTGAAACTTATTCCGTACAAAACAAAGACATTAGAAGTTTTATGAATACGGCTAACATTAGAGTAGTATTCCAGAGGAGGAAGAATTAGCGCTCGGTTTCGGTGCATTTGAAGGATCGGTATCCGGCTGACGGGACAAGGAACTGTGTATGCAAAAACAAATGTAACGACTGTACTAGGGTTGACAGCAAGGGAATTGCACATCAGAATCTTTGAGCATTTGCGTTCCACTATTGGGCCACCGAGAAACGTAGATGAATACCAGGCGATAGTCAAAGATCCGGCGATGGCAGGACATGCACTAGACTGGGAAAGATTTAGAAAAAAGGACGTCCTAAAACGGGGTTTATGTTCACATCCTCACACACAGCACTGATCAGGTCGAAAAGTCATAAGAAAACTGACGGTCTGGTTCCCCCACTGTCTTCGAACCCAATAAAAAACGAAACTTTTGTGCAAAATCCGAACCGTGGCCTAGGAACCAATTCGCCAATTGTTAATTAAATCTCTCGAAACGACTCCTCACAGTCGGTCTCGGACACTTGTCGATTGATTTGCCATTAAGCTTATTTTTAGCAGCTAAGGACCAGGACTCATGGAGTTTCATGGAGCTGTCGAACGGGGGCCAGTGAACACGACGCACAGGGGTCGTACGACTAAAGACTCACTCGTCCATATCCGCCGGCAGCTACGGCAGAACCGCATTCTTCACGTAACCATTCACTCGTCGGGTGGATGTTATGTCCATATGCAAGGGGAATTATATTACAATTGTTGAAAGAACCACCGAATATCTGAGACTTCAAGATACTTTTTGACTGATCACCAGAGTTCCCAGTTAGGAGTTTACATATTGCTGAGGAGTTTGGTATCCGGACGCTCCGTAAGATGGAATCCCATTTTTACCCCAGCAAATTTTGTGATCACATTGCTGTTGAGCTGGCATGTACTGTTGTTGGTGTTGTTGTTGTTGTTGTTCGCACCTGTAACCCAGTTCCGTAAACGAACAAACAACCAAACACACATGACCTCTTTGGTGGAACCGTATTCAGTAGAAGCTCCCTTTTGCCGAACCTAATAAATGGTGCATCTTACACTTTGGACATGCCCAACCAAACACCCACGGAAATGAAGAAAGGCAAGAGTGCTCAGCCTGACAGTCAGTAAATAGCCGTTACATTCTCGTTCGATAACGTGCATTATCAACGTAAAAGGCCACCATCTAATGATACCTTTGCAATCAAACGTTTTGGCTCCACTGATAGATGAACAACTATGTTGTTTTCAGAGTGGAAATTTAAAATAGTGTATGTCGGAAAAATTTTGTTTTACCTGCTTGCATCTATGACTGTGATTTTCAATGAAAAGGCGGTGGGTAGAAGCCACATCAAATGGACACATTTTGTGGCCTCTGCTGGGATTCGACAGCATACCCTCCTTGTGCTACTTTATTCCGATTGTGTGGGGTCGATTCTGACAGCCCATCGAACTCAGATGTTTCATGAGTGCATACCATGATTCATGTTACTCGGACAGCGGCATTGTCATTCTTAAGTGTTTGCGTCCGTTATCTTATGTGAAATCGTCTAGGAAATTTCAGAAATTCGATGATCTTCAAGCCACCACTAATAATCTTAACTTGCTTTCTAGATTTGTCATATCTAAGATATCCCCATTTAGTTCGCTTTACTGTAGTCAAAACTGTTCTGATGAATGAACCGGATGTCGGAAATCCTAACAAAGACGATTGAAACCAGTTGTGACACCGAAAATACCCATTCTGAAGGTACCGAAATTACTAGGCTCTATGATAATTATATTAAGTTAGTACTACTTGCTGAGATCAAGTAGTGTGTATTAGGAAGCCATTCTGATCAAGTTCGTTCGTCCGCTCCGGCTTTATTTGCATGGGGTAAAATGAGAATCATATGAGAAATGTCATACATATTAATTGTATCTGTATCCATTCTTAAGATCCTGTGGGAAATATTTCAGGGCCCCTAGGTTTCGTTGCAAAGTGGTTATTTTTCTAGTTTAGAAACGAGCGGCAGACTCGAAAGTATTATGACCGAAGTCAATGTAGGCCAAGATTGTAGAGCTCCTGTCCGAATGTCGTTTTTTTTAAATGAGGTATTGTGACGATCTTGTACACAAAATTGCTTCCGTACCAGAATCCCGCTTCCTGGCTATGGACCCTGTCTGCAAATTTCTTCGTGAATCGACGTAAATTAAGCTCAAAAAACTCCCTGAACACAACACAAGTCATGTCAACGTCATTGGTACAAGCAGCATCATGGGATACCGGCTGACGTTGAGATTGTTATTGGCTCATTCTGCGGCGGCGCAAAAAGACATTACATCAGCCAGTGTAAGCGATCAGAATGTCAGATTTATTCATTCAGAAACAAAGAAAATCATCTAGTACACCCGTATCAAGTGAGATCGTTAGAGTGTTCTAGTTGGATACATCTACTAACACAAAATTTCAGGTTAAAAAAAGACCTTGAAACATTTTTGTAGTGATCCTCAAGTAGATGGGCAATATTAAACTTCGGCGTACGTCATCAGTGGATGTTCTCTCAACTGAAACGCCTGACGGTTTAGAAGCATCGTTAAGTATTTCCTCGTGGTTCTGAAGCGCTATTCACATCGGTTGACAGTTACTTGGTGAAGTTCGAAAAAATCACTGCTGGTTTACTTGTAGGTCATATATTTGCGGTGCTCGTTGCAGTGAGACAACACAATTTCCGCAACAGTGAAGGCATTAGGGCGGACGTAAAATGCTGCTACAATTGTGCATGCAGAATTTTACGAGTGAAGTGCGTACCATGAGGCACTCGCTTCATTCCTACAATCAGGGAACCGGTCTCCATTCCATATACATTCATACGTATACGTTGTACATAAAAAAACATAAAATACATAAAATACACACGTGCATACAGATATAGTTTCAAGTATTCACACAGAAAGACAGACGGACAGACAGACACACAGACAGACAGACAGGCAGACAGAGAGAGAGATAGACAGACACAGACAGAGAGAGACAGACACAGACAGAGAGACAGACAGACAGACAGGGAGAAAGCCAGACAGAAAGACATAGAGACAGACAGACAGGCAGACAGACAAACAGACAGATAAACAGGCTGGCAGGTAGACAGACCTACTGGGAATCAGACAGACAGCAGACACAGAGGCAGGCAGACAGGCAGATTAAGAGATGGACTGATGAATATACAGATGCCGTGCTGCTTTGCTAGCCACTTATTTCAAACACAGGTAGGATTCACCTGATGGAATATGAATTCGGTTGACCTCTGCAAATATGAATATGGATTAGAAAGGTCTCCGGTTTGAGTACATGCGCGACAAAATGTAACCCATCGGCGCAAAACGTTTTATTCCACTCGAAAAGGTTTTGCGCCTAAGGGCACTAAGCAGTACAGTCCAATTGAGGTCCGTCCAGTTCAGTTGAGATGATTTTGGTTGAGCTGAGTTGGATTGAGTTGAGCTCAGTTAATTTCATTCGAGTTCAGTTGAGATCAGTTGAGTTTTGCTCACTTCAGTTCAGTACAGTTTAGTTTACTTTATTTCACTTTAGTTCAGTTCAATTCAGTTCAGTTCATTTCAGTTCAGTTCAATTCAGTTCAGTTCGGTTCAGTTCAGTTCACTTCATTCCAATTCGGTTTCTCTCAGTACAGTTACCTTCTGCTCCGTGTTTTAAGCTCGTTGGGTTCCTCCACTTGACTTACTTGGGAACAGAATTCCAAGCACGTTATACCGATTATGACGACAAAGTGATAGTTTCAGGTAAACAGTGGCGCGGGACAGTCTTGAGTAGGCGTTTCCTTAGTTCGAAGCCGGTCTTCTGTTCGAC